TTTCAAGAACAAACGTAGCTTTGTAGCTAGGAAGCAAGATAGCTAATTAGTTAATTCGGCTACTCGATGCTTGTACTTTAATAGCTGCATAAAAAAAATAATAATAATAATAATACAATTAAATCATTAATCACAATTAACTGTATGACAATTTTACCCATTAACTACATTTTCATGATGGTGACAGTCCCATCTCCATCTCTGCTATGTTTGTTATTTATACATTATATTCTTCACACTGTTCAGTAAAAGTCTATAAGAGATCATGCTTAAAGTACGGAAGCCAAAAACAATAAACACAGATTATGATGGGTTTTGAAAAAGATTTTCTTAAAATAAATAATAAATTTTAATATAATAAACGTTTAACATACTTCGGTGTGTGTACTGCTGTCTGTATTGCCCAACAGTTAATTAAAATGAATTATTTAATAGTCTGATTATGTGGCTACATACTGAGTGAAATACTACTGTAAAGTTTAACCAGTTAAACTAATACCAGCTGATTTTGCCTACTTTGACCAAATAGTTCAGTTTAACGTTGGCACTGCAAGCCAAGGCACTGATTTCTATTCTGACTACTTCAGTACCATTAACAAAAAACCTTGCCAATTTAGTGCAATTTCAGTGTCCAAAGTGCATCAGGTCTTACCTTCAACATCGTGTATGTAATCTTCAATACAGTTGCTGCCTCCACTGTGTCCTTTGTGGTATCTCTGCAGACTCATTTCTTCATTTCCTTGTTTTTTCTCTGCTTTCAAAAAGAAGAAAAAAGTAAAGTAATAATGACAAAGCTATAGTTTTAGTACTGCAATATAAACCCAACAAAATGAACACAGTAAAACTGTCACTATTAATTTATTACCAGCAGAGCAGAGGGTTGTAACCTCTGCCAAGAATTTGAATGTTCTCTGTAAACGGGCAGTCTCTTTTCTCTTTCATTTAAAATCTAACATCCCAGAGTTTTTTTAAAAGCTTTGCCTGGAACTTATTTCTGGCTTGTGTACAGTAACAGCGCTAACCCTCACAGCAATCAACCACTGAATTTAAGGGCACACGTCATAAAAAAACTCAATTTTTCTTACTTTTCTGTTAATAAGCCTTTGATGTAACATGTAAAAAACTGATAAAGTTTCATAATATTATTCACTTATAGTTCACAGAGTCCAAACATGGGAACTAAGTTACAAAAACAGCCTGCTTTGAATTCACTGTCTTTGTGATTGTTTTGTGATGAATGCATTTGCATATATCTGCCTACCCAGACAACAGCAGTTTAGCTCCGCCACTCACACTGACTTGCAAGGAGTGTTTCGGCCTGGTCTGCTTTTTGAATGAGGCACAATGCAGGACAGCCAGTCAGAACACGGATCATTTACATAAATCATATATTTATAGGCACAGTAACCAAAACAGCCTGTTTAAGGGATAAAGAGAGGTTTGTTATATAAACCAGCAAAGTGTTACAAGTAGACCTCAGAGGGGAAAATACATCACAAGAAAAAAACAGGACGTGGTCCTTTAACGTTAACGTCGCTGAAGCAACGTTCCTTTGGGATGTTGATTCTTAATCACTTCCTAAAGTAATACTGAAATATATTTACATGTATACAATGTTCAACAAAGAGCAAACAGAACTGTAATCCTGCCTTAAAGGGAACTCCACCATTTTTTAAATATTTCTGAATAATTCAGATCTTGGGATGTAAACAGAGTTTACGGTTTAGATGATGGATGGATGGATGTATCCCTCCACCATGAATGGATTTAAATACATTTTAAGTCCAAACTTTATCACAAAACTGTCATAAAACAATGTGTCAACATAAGACACCGTATAAATAGCCACTTCATAAAATAACTTTCTGTGAGGGAGCTTTTAGAGTCATTAAACTCCATGGATGTCTGGTTCCTATCGCCACCACTGTGAACTATTCTGACTTGGTCAGTTTCTCTAGAACAATGCATTTCACACCAAACCACTCTGAATCATTCTGTTCACATCTCAACCGTTTAGTTATGTATCATTTTTTTTAAAAAATGGGTGGAGTTCCCCTTCCTATGGCTCCAGTAAAACATTGTCAATCAATCCTGCTTTATCTACATCAACGAGCATTTTGTGAAAAGTCAACTGAAACAAATGTAAACACTTTAGCCTATAAATAAAACTAGTCTTTCAGCATATTTCAGACAAACTGTTTGCTTATTCAGATTCATTAGATTACAAAAGGTGTAATAAAATGCTCTAAAGGTCTTTTCAGTAGTGCAAACATTACTCAAACTGTGAATAATCCGCCCACAAAGACCAAACCAATGACTTACTTCAGGAGAGCTCTTTCTGATCAGGTTTGCAGCTGAAAAATAAAACAGAAATATATCAGTAAAATTGGCATCTTAACCAGTGGCTCAAAAAGCATAAGAGTGAGGGCATTTCTCTTTCTCCCCTCTCTGTTATTTCTAAAACTGACCGTTTGCTAACCTACGTTCCTCGCCCCTTAACGGATTTAAACTAACCTAGGTTAGCATGTTAGCTAACCATACCCGGTGCAACGGTGATTCAGGTAACGCGTTAAAACGAATAATACTTAGTTTAACATTGTTATTTATCACTCAAACGCCGAACGTTATGAAATTAGGTTATGAATTTAACTTAGTTTTCTTTTACCTCTTGAGGAACAGGGATGGGGGCTCGCGCTCACGCGTTTCTGCCACCTAACATCAGAGCCGGTTTATAGTAGCTCCGCCACTGAACGCCAGAGGGCGCGAGCGAGCGGGTCCTAAAAGAATGGGGTGAATGGAGCTAAAAGGCTAAAACGAAAAGTTAAAATAGTCTCTAACGTCTTGTTGAAGACTTTGTTTTAATTCTAAAAAGCAGAAGGATGAATTTCACTAAAAAGCAAAACCGTACCTACATGTTTTTTTTTCCCACAGCATACAGGTTTTCGGTAGCAGGACGCTAACATTATTTCCCATAGATTTACATAGCTAGATGCCGCGTTGCCTGTTATTCTCTATGTGAGATGATACGTCTGTGTGTCCGCCATCAAGCGTCATGAAGATACATGAGGCGCCATTACGAAGTCCTGTAACTGGAGTTCAGTGCTTTGAATATAACAGCTGCGTTACAAGGTTTTATGCTGTTCTGTGTTCATGGAATTAGTCCATTCTTCTATAAAAATAATGATTAAACATTTACAAACTATTATTTAGCTAAACTGCTCAATATTAACCTGCTTATTTTGGACTCGGGAGCGCCTTAGTGTTTGTCAAATGTGAAAACCTCTCTACATATTCTCTGACCTGGCCAATGAATGGGGGTGAATGAAGCTAAATGGTTAACAATAAAACATTTTACGTTTCTATGCATTTATGTGGGAATTTCCTTTGAGTTTTAGAAAGTAGAAGGATATATTCCACTAAAAAAATCAAAGAAAACTAACCGGCATCTTTCTGTTTTTTATACAGCAAAATGGTTTTGGGCAGTAGAATGCTAACATTGCTACTGCTGAGTGCTGACTGGTTGGCGAGCTGATCAGCTCATTGGCTGTGTGAAGCAGCAGCATCTCAAACAACATAACACTAATTAAAGTGCTGCTTGTGGTGGTGCGCTATTTTTGACATACGGTCTAGTGTGGTAGAGTGTGGTTTGAGACACAACCACTGTTAAAAGTCCTATAACTGTTACTGTCATTTTCTGTATAAAAATAATTAAGCTTTCATAAACTACTATTTTGCATGAAAGCTCCATAGGAATCTATTCATTTTGGACCCTCTAGCGTCTAAAAAAATATGAATTTGATCAGTTGTACTCACTAAAAATTTTCTGGTCCGTTTATTCAGTGTTTTATTACCAATATTTATTGCTGGCTACTTTCATACTTAGCTTACCATTGTTTGTTTTTTCCCCTCTTTTTTCTTTTTTGGGTCAATATTAATTTCTAATGATTACTAAAGTCTAAGGAACCCGACATTGTCAGACATGGAAAATTATTAAACTCAAAAAGTATTAAAGAGGAATACTTTTATGTTTTTTTTTTTATTACATTTTCAAGAGATTTAAACTTAAAGAGATATAAACCTTCTTTGCTTTCAATGGAAGCAGACGTTTTTTCAAGTCATTTTGGGCCATTTCATTTGGTCCATTCTTCATGAAATTTACACACAATGTAAAGGGTAACAGGCGTTTTCGAATTATATCAAAGACTGAAAAATGGAGATAGGAGGTTTTCTTCCGACAGCAGTGAGATGTGTGTGTATATATATAGACATACGTAGTTTAGAACAGACAAACATATAGACATTTACGGCGTTTGACAGACGCTCTTATCCAGAGCGACATACAATTTGATCAGTTTACACAGGTAGACAAAGGTAGTGTTAGGAGTCTTGCCCAAGGACCCTTATTGGTATAGTGTAGGGTGCTTACCCAGGCAGGGGATTGAACCCCAGTCTACAAGGCAGAAGTGTTACCCACTACGCTATACCAACCACGACATCAACATATAAACATAGACATAAACATATACATCTGTAAACATATGTGTAGTGTGCTACAAAGCACCAACATTGTACAGTTAATGCTAAACCATATTCATGACGCTGTAACTCTCATGTTGTTTTCTTTGTAAATAGAATTGATCAGTTTAACCTACACAGAAGTAGAAGCGTTTTCTTCACAGAAATGATCTGTTGTCCTAATCTAAACTTTCCGTCTGACCATGATCTTACAGGTGCTCTGTGAAAAGGCTATGCAAAATATTTAAGCAAAGCACTGAAGCAAATCACTCATTGGGCTACCAAATACATGCGGGATAGTGCGCTGCAGACAGTTTCTAGATCAATTTGCAATTCACTTCTTTAGTGTCGCTTGAGTGCACTTGTACCAAACGCCCCCTGCATGCTCTCCAAGGAACTGCGGCTGTTTTGGACCTGAATAAGTCGAGCTGTCACTGGACACTTTATGTGAAACTGGGACTTTGAGTTGATTGGATTAGCCTGTTGTCAGTTATGACAGATGACTATACAATGACTTTTATGTGTACACCCACTTATGAACCTCTGTCCCAAACACACCTGGGCAACATACGGATACAGCAGGACTACTGGTACAGGTAGGTCATTGGCTTTCATATGGATTTGCATCATGCTATCACTTTTATGAATGTTATGAATTGAAGTACATGTTCAGACAACTCTCAGATGGATTCGAACAGATGCTTTTGCACAAACGTGTCCATGTCGCACAGTCACTGACGCAAAAGAGGGAAATACCAAGTACTAAGAAATTCTAAAAATTCATATAAATATTGCAAAAATTTGACTTTCTTCTCAAATAGTTACTCTGTTAATATCATTTGAAATAAAAAAAAACATATATTGAAAGAAAAGAATACAAAATAGAAGAATTCCTCCTTGTGGGCCCCACTGTACCATCTTTTTGGCAACAGCCAAATTTAGCCTGTTCTATCCTCACCAGATAAAAGATCCTTCAAAAGTAATATTTTGAACAAAACCAGCAGAGCAAATCTTCAGTGTGAAGTACTCTGAAGTTCCCAGAGGGAACTTCAGGGAACTGAGCTTTGCAAAAGTGCACTGAATGCAGTACGACCACATTCCTGTAATTAGACACCTCACTGGGTGTGTTCTCTTGCAATACGGCATCTAGAAGGTCAAGCTTAAAAGAATATGAGTAGACTGTACCCCAAATGTAGACTTTTGGTGTATTAAAAAATTTTAACCAGCTTCTAAGACTGAACTTTGGAGGGGTGGCAACATATCCCTGTAGATTTCTTTGAAAAACGTAAAGTGAGCCCCCTGAAAAGAATGGAAGCTGTAATAAAGGTAAGGAGTGGTCACACTAAGTACTGAAAAAATTATATTTAGTTGTTGAAGCTTTCTGATGTTGGAAAATGAATAATTTGCATTTAAAGTGTGGTTTGCGCAGTACTATAAGCTTCTGTTACTTGTATGTTAGCCTTTGTAGTTCTAGTGAAAAACTAAAGAAGCAAACAACAGACACCAAACATGTCATGATCCAGTACATTATGGGTAATGGGGGAAAACTGTGTATATTTAATATTTTGCCAAACTGTTCTTTCACTCCAACAAACCACAGATCAGCACTGCCTCTGATTGCTTCGCAGGGCACTTTGAGCTGTCAGTCATGGCGTCAGTCCTATCAGAAGAGCAGTTCACATGCTGCATCTGCTTGGACCTTTTCCGCCAGCCTGTGTCCATCCCGTGCGGCCACAACTTCTGCCTCCTCTGCATCCAGGGATTCTGGGACACAGCAAAGCGCAGTGAATGTCCGCTCTGCAAGGAGACTTTTCACCGGCGACCAGAACTTAGGATCAACCACGCTCTCACTGACATCACTGAGGGCTTCAAGAGGTCACTCAAGGTCAAATCAGGTCAGGCCAGAGGTCAGGAGCCAAGCCAGGGTGACAGGGGAAGGCAGGAGAGGCCGCTGCCAAGGAGACGGAACGTTTGCGGAAGGCATCGGCAGCCACTGGACGTTTACTGCAAGACGGAGCAGATAATCGTGTGTTCGGAATGTGTAGAGGGTCAGCACAAAGGACACCAGACAGTGCTCATGGAGAGAGAGAGCAACAGGATGAGGGTGAGAGACAGACAGATAGAGAGAGATGATCTCTATGAGGAAGTTTAAAAAAAAATAAAAAATTTTTAAATCTCACACGTCAATGATCTTTCTGTTCTGTGGTCAGACGGAGCTACGTGACGTGGAATCGAAGCTGCAGCGTATGGTCCTGGACCGTCTGGAGAAGGTGGATGAGATCAAACATTCAGCACAGCAAAGCAAAGTGAGTGCTGTTGTGTTGAGCTCCTCATTCACTCCCTACTTCTGTTCCATCATTCAGTTTTTTTCTCAAATTGTCCTATTAATGCTCAACTTGGTAGGCCTTATTTTAAAGGGGCACTCCAGCCAAGATGAACAATGTGTTGTAAACCTGTTGTAAAAATGCCTCTTCACCTCTTACAGCTGCAGCAGCCTCTAAAATACAGTTTAAAGACTAGAAACCCCCTTCTGATGATGCATCTTGAAGGTGGAAGTACATTTTGAAAGACTACAAGTGCCTTGGAGTGGATACTTAGGCTGCTTGAAACCACAGCACCACAGATGACGCCTCTTGATCAGTGGCTTGCAATCAGAATTTGTTGAACGCTGGGTTTGGGTGTGTGATGTATAAATGCAATGCATGCTGGGCATTGTAGTAAGAGAATATTGATGGATGAAAGCACAAAAATGATACAATACTGTCAACTGTCACTTTGCTACACTATAGAATAATACATAACCTGACAAATAACTTATTCAAGTAGGGCCAGAATTTATTACCCATTATTTCCCAAGACATTTGTTTCTTTCTTGAGAAGCACTATTTTATAATAATACTTCAATGAATGGACTTAAATTGGACAGTTTATTCAAGACTAATTATTGGAATAATTAAATTTTTTTGTATTTTTTAATAGAATTAAATCTTTTGATTATTTGGAATCAGATCAGGCAGAAAATCAGTGGTACTGTCCATTTCTACTTCTGTTTTTATGGCCTGTTTTTTCCCGAACCTCAGAGAAGCATGGGGAAGGAGATTGAAGAGAGCATGCAGATCTTCGCTGACCTGCTGCGCTCCATCGAGAAAAGCCAGGCCGAGTTGGTGGAGGAGCTGAAGGAGAAACAGAAGGAGGTGGAGAGGAGGGCAGCCTCATTCTCTGAGGAGCTGGAGAAAGAGATTGCTGAAATTGTGATGAAAAAGTCAGAAGTGGAGCAGCTTGCAAACACCCAGGATCAGCTTCACCTTCTACAGGTATAAATACCAGACTATGAGGAGGCTTGTTAAACTGACAATTCTACTGATTGTCCTAATTTTCAAATTAGTCATGTCCATAAATTTGTGCACTTGGCAATTCAGTACAAAAGTGGATGGAGCATTGACTAGTCCATATTGCAACACTAAATATCTATCGTGCCTGATTTTCAGAGCAGAATCAGACTATTTTAGACTACTCAAGCCACTTAGGATTGGCCTCTGCTTCTGTTGCTGTAGAATTTCCATTCTGTGGTAACTCTCCCACGTGCCAAAGACTGGTCTCAAACATGCATCAGTGCCAATCAACGTGTTGGGACAGTGAGAAGAGCTATGGCCACACTGGAAGAGATACTTCGCAACCATGAGAGGAAACTGTGTGAGGCTGGTGAGATGTGGATTTGTGTCTCTGGTATTGTATATGTATTTTTTTAATAAGTATGCTTTTTTATTGTTATCTGAACAACTTTCTCCTAACTTTTTTGGCAGAGTTGCATCAGACCCAGCAATATGCAGGTTTGCATTTGTTTGTTTGTTTATAGTCTATGTGCATAAATCTAATTGATTTTAATGTGGGTCTGTGTTCATGTCAAACTCTATCAATCTCCCCTCAGTGGACATAAGCTTTGACCCACAGACTGCTGCCCCCTGGCTTGTCTTCTCCCCTGACCTTAAGCAGGCCAGTCTGGGCTACCAACCCCCAGCCACTCCTTCCTCATCCAGCCCCCTGCGGTTTGACTCCTGCGTGTGTGTGCTAGGCCAGCCGGGCATCTCCAGCGGGAGGCACTACTGGGTGGTCCAGGTTGGTGACAAGACAGACTGGGAGCTGGGAGTGGCCCGAGAGTCCATCAACAGAAAGGGGGCCATATCGGTTCGGCCAGATCAGGGTTTCTGGGCAGTGTGCCGTCGGAAGGGGGGTAATCTTATTGCCTGTACTGGACCCGCCACCCCCCTTGTCTCTTGCCATGAAAGGCCACAAAAGGTTGGAGTGTTTGTAGACTATGAGGGAGGCCATGTCTCGTTCTATGATGTGGCGGCCCGGAGACATATTTATTCCTACACTGGGTGCTCCTTTGCTGAAACGTTGTACCCCTACTTCAACCCTTGTCTTCACGATGATGGGAAGAACACTGCTCCATTGATCATCTGTCCGGTAGGGGGAGGAGAGGTCGCAATCTCAGGCCTGAACCGTAAAACAGAAAGGCTGCCTCCACTGATAAGACGTCAGTCGTCCCAGGGTTTCATTTCACAGCAAACGCAGTTCTAGGTGTGGCCAAGAATGTTAATAAAGGTGCCAAAAAGGGTTATTTGGTGTGATGGCAAAGAACACAGTTTCCCAGCCTTTTGTGCCAGATAAACTCCTTCAATCTAGATTTGCCTTAAAGGTGCACTATGTAAGATTTGGGTATTTGGAGACCTCTCTGGTGGAAATTGCACTTGTAAGAATTTTTCCTTGTGCTTCGGACCCCTTCCCAAATGGTTTAATCTGATGATTGTGAGTATGTTGAAAGAGGTATTCAAAGAAACCTCAGTCAAAACTTTCATAAAACGTTCATAATATTCTTATCAGTATAATATTGATTTTGCACTTAAGACCTAAACTATGAGCTGGACTGTCTTTTTGAGCCTATGTTTGAAGTTATTAGATAAAGATCCGAAAAACTCCCATAAAATCTGACTCGACACATCTGATCCTGATTGATTATTTCAGGCTTGCAGGCTATTTCTTTCATGACAGAGTTCTTCAGATTGATGGAAAATGTGCATGAATGTGCTATAGACGGTTCTATATAGAACCATTTTCAAAAAGGTTCTATATAGAACCATGTACAGCACATTCTCTATCTGTCTGAAGAACCCTTTAATCATGTAAAGGGTTCTTTAAGTGTTCATGGTTCTATATAGAACCATTTTCTTTACTAAAGAACCCTTGAAGCACTATCTCTTTTTAAGAGTGTACTTTTGTCACTGTAGATGGTCAGAAATCAGCTGGACACCCATCACTTTGTGGTCAGTGACACTGCCCTCAATCCAAGTGTAGTTCATCCAGTGCCTTTAATGTGCATTCTTTTTTTATGTTAAGTGTTTTATTGCCTTTTAAGTTCCCACAGCACTAAAAAATGAAACTACGTTGCAAACCATACTGTTGTATTTCTCAGTCTCTGTGTTGTTGTTTTGTATGTTCTCTAAATAAAACTCTTCAGAACATTAAACTGAACAGTTGGGGTTCAGGGGGCTGATGGTAAAATATTAGCGGATATAAATAACAGTCTGAGAGAAAGAGTGTGAGAGTGTAGGAGGACGGTGTTCAGTCCTGTGAGAAAAATGGGAAAAAATAGATGTGATGTAATGAGTTGAACGGAGGGGTTTCCTGGCAGAGAGAGAGAGAGAGAGAGAGAGAGAGATGCAGCAGTGCCCTGGAACAGTTAAGATCTGCCCCTCTTTTGATATGGACACAAGTTCCTGACCACTGCAGTAGGTTGTGGAGGCTCATCCAGAGGATGGTAAGCATTCGCTTTACATTTTTCCCTGCTGGCATTTCTCCAAGCTCTGGGCGAGTGAACTACCTGGACCAAATATTGAACTGCCAGTGTTTTAAAAACAGAATTAGAAATGTTTCCAGCATAGAATTAGCATTAAGTACACTTAACAGGGCTAATGTTAGCAGTCTTTTAAATGTTAGCAGTCTTTTAAATGTAGAATACTAAAAAATAGTAATAGTAGTCAGTTAATATATGATTAGCAGAGTTTAAATATAGAATCAGAAAAGTTTTAAATCTAGCATTAGCATTGTACTAGATGTAAGACTGAAAGTTAAATGCATCAATAGCCCTGTTTTAAATGTAAGTTTAGCAATATTTTAAATGTAGCATTACCTGCTGAAAAAAACAAGCACAGATCAGCATGAATCAGCATGCTGGTCTAAGTTGGTCTATGCTGGTTTATACTGGTTTATGCTGGTCTGGTGCTGGTTTAGCTGGTCACCCTGTATGGTAATGCTGGTTGACCAGCATACCAGCATCCAAAATATGTTAGCTTTGCTGGTGACTAGACATGCTGGTCTGTGCTGGATTATCTAGCAGGGTTAGCACTGTTTTAAATGTAGGATTAGTAGTTTTCATTTATGAAAATAGCATTAGCAGTGTTTGAAATGTAGCATTTGCAATGTTTTGAAGGTAGAATTAGCACAGTTTAAAATGTAACACTAGCAATGTTTTAAGTTCAGTGTTAGCAGTGTTTTAGTGTAGGATTGGAAGTGTTATAATATCGGATTCGCAGTGTTTCAATGCAGAATTAGCAATGTTTTAAATGTAGGATTAGCAGTGTTTAAAATGTGGCATTAGTAGCATTTTAAATGTAGGATTAGTGCTTAAATGTCACATTAGCAAAGTTTTAAATGTACAATCATCAGTTTTGAAAGGGTAGTATTAGCATAGCTTTAAATATATGATTAGCAGTGTTCAGAATACAGGATTAGCAGTGTTGCAAAAGTTAGGATTAGCAGTTTTAAATGCAGGATTATCAGTGTTTCAATAGCATAAGCAAGGCTCTACCTTATAGTTATATCTAACAGTTTTAAATGCAGGTTTGCAGTGTTTTGTATGTAAGAGTAGCAGTTAAATGTAGCATTGGCAGTGTTTTAAATCTCTTTCAGTTTTTAAATGTACTATTTGCAGTGTTTAAATGTTAGCAGTGTCAAGTTCTGTGGTAAATTTAGTGTCTGAGATTTTTGTTTATGACTTTTGTTTATGATATGTGTTTATATATGTCAGTATGTACAGTTGTGCTTGTATTGTTTTTGTTATAGTGCTTTTGGGTTTGTCTGTGTGTAGGAATGTTTTGGAGCTGGTGTTTAGTAGTCAGATGGTTTCTCAGTAGGTGCAGATTGGCCTGCTGGTGTCCGTGTGCATGTGCGTGCGTGGCCCTTGTGATTTCTTTCTCTGCCAAACTATGATATCATCCTCCTGCACCCTCACAAGTTGGCCTTTTTACCTTGCAGACTGGTGCAGCTTGTATTGGGCTTGTTAAGTTCCTCCATAATCTGAAACGAGAATGATGTTATAGGCTTGAACTGGTTGAACTGAGTTCAAGGCCATGACAAATGAAAAACTTGGTCTCTCTTTTCTTAGGTATCGACCTGCCACTATCTGCACACTGTGGGAACTTGATACGTTTGGAAAACGTTGATCTGAACAAGCAACAGAAGAAAGCTAACTCTGATTTTAGAAAACAAAATATGAATGAAGTTAAATAAGCCGGACAGAATCGGCACTAGAAAAGAACATCAAGAACATTGAAGAGGTTCAAGGTTCAAGCAGAGACTGTGAGCTTGACATTTTACATTAATTAATGCAACACAGAGAATCCTTGGATCTGTGACCGTTGTCCATAATTCCCACAGCTACCCACAAGCTAAGTTGTAAAATACTTTACTTCGAGGAGATGGACAGGCCTGCATTTTGTCACCTTGTCCTGGCTCTGGCTGGACTCCTGCTTCTGTCTCCACTGGTGGTCAGAAGCCAGAATGACACTGAGCCTATTGTTCTGGAGGGGAAGTGTTTGGTAGTGTGCGACTCCACTCCTACCACAGAACCAGCCAGTAATGCACTGGGCATGTCAGTGCGCTCTGGTACTGGACGAGTGGCCTTTTCAGCCATTCGCAACACTAACCACGAACCTTCAGAGATGAGCAACCGGACGATGACCATCTACTTTGACCAGGTCAGTGATGAAGGGGACAGCAATGTGTGGATGAATGGCTAGATGGATGGATGGGTTGATGGATGATGGTTGAAAGAATGAACTGATGATGGGCGAATAAATTGCTGGATGAGAAGAATGTAATCAATGTTTAGTGAACCTGGAATCGGGAGTGGTTGAATAGATGCATGGATGGATAATTAGTAGATGAATGGACAGTAAGATAGACAGACAGGTGAGTAGATGGATGAATGAATGGATGGACAGGTGGGTAGATAGAAGGATAAGTGGGTAGATAAATAATTAATGGTAAGTGAATGGATAAATGGTTCATCGATAAATGGGAAGAATAGTGAAAGTAGTCAATTGTTAAGCAAGCTAATTAGTGGATGACCATGTAAGCAAGAACAACTGTCACCTGTTTCACTATGTGCTCTGTGTCTTAAACATAAGGTCTTGGTGAATGTCGGCAGCCATTTTGACCCAGCGAGGAGCATCTTTCTGGCACCTAGGAAAGGGGTTTACAGCTTCAGCTTCCATGTGGTCAAAGTTTACAATAGGCAGACGATACAGGTAAGCCACAAATACATTAACTGACTATTATATTGAAGTATATTGTAAATAAAGCAACTCGAACTCAATTTCCCAAATATGTTTTGGACTCAGGGTCAGGTACTAACAGCTTCCCTCACACAAATAGATTTTGCCCTGCTTTTTCTCCTACTTTAGTTACTCTTTACTTTAAGATACTTTCATATACCTTGGAACAGTTTTAGTCTGGTGTTCTTGAGCCACCCACTTGTATTGTAGACAGAATTTAGCACCAAGGCCCACGCTCCTGAGAAAGTGGATGTGTGGGAAACAAAACGCAATAACATGGCAAATGGCAAAAATATTCAATAGCTCAATATGTGTAATGTGTTCTATATAAAGAAAAAGAATTAAACAGGTGAAGGTTATACGAGAACCACGTTGCATTGTGATCATGTTACATCATATAAGTTCATATCTATTTGTCCTCGATCTATTGACTGATACCGTTGCTGTTAGCAACATCAGGTTTTATTTGGCACTTTGGGTGATGATGGATCAGTTTGGGTCACTTTCATGCTGAATTTTCTTGAACTCTGAGTCAAAATTTGATGACGTTGGTCAGTTCAGAAAATTTCAAGCTCTAGTGTCTTGTAGAACTATTAGCATGCTTGGGAGGAGAGTCTACATTGTAGCAAAATAAATACTGGAGAAGATACTATATTTTTAGAGATGGTCACTTGTATTTGGCCAAAGTGGTGAAAGTGGTTGATCTCATTTGTGGTTTGACAGTTTCATCATGACTGTGACCACCCTGTTTACTTCTCCCCATCTGTCTCTCCCCTTAGGTAAGTCTAGTGTTGAATGGGTGGCCAGTGATATCTGCATTTGCAGGGGACCAGGATGTGACACGCGAGGCTGCAACCAATGCAGGGTTGGTTACCATGGAGAGAGGGGACAAGGCCTACCTCAAACTTGAGCGAGGAAACCTGATGGGCGGCTGGAAGTACTCCACCTTCTCTGGGTTTCTTGTTTTCCCTTTATAGAAGGCATTAGAAGGAGAAGGAGAACAAATATAATTGAACTGAACCTACAGATTCAAAGAAATCCCAGCTATAATCTCAAAGAATTCTTGATGTACTCACTCTTCTCTGTCTTGTGCTGGTGATTTCAGTAGCTGTTCCTTATCATCACATTTGCATGGCTTCATCCTAAACACCTTCTGAACCAGATCATGAAGACACTTGGACAAACTGGTGACATCATCCAATGTCTGATGTGGCCATTTTATTAAGATCAAAGTGCAAATGGACACAGGTGGATACATGGCCACAGACTCGATTCTATTTATTATCACTAGCACCATCTGTTAATCTGGCAAAACAGGTCAGAAGAGAGCCAGATACATTTCTGTGATCAGGTTGCCAAAGGACTGCAGGTTCCAATGTAAATCTTGGCTACGGTCATGCATATTAAAGTTATGATGTTTGTATTGGCACCGGTCCCTTGATCCATGTCCTGTTTAGCCAGTATGGGGTATAGCACATTACATAGAGGCCAAGTGGAATGCTTAGATATGCATACTCTTAAAATTAAAGGTTTCTAAAAGGTTCTCAGCTTGTAGAACTAAAAAAATATTAAACTGGTGTAGAACCTATAAATATGTCTAAGGACCAGGGTTGGTGACCACTGTCCTATGGCATTGCTCTAAAGAACCTTTATTTTTAAGAGTTTGTAACTATTCAGAAAAATGGAACGTCTTCTTAGAATTTCCTGCCCTTTAATTAAACTACTATTCAGAACGTTTGTGTGGTGTCCTCTCTCTCCAAGCTGCTTGTGTTGGTCTCTATATCTTTTACTACCAGCTGTTCCATCCTGTGGTCAGGAACACCCCCCCAGCTTCCAAGTTTTGTCGAGGATGCTGGGACATTAATTCTCGATGCTGATCGTGCGGTTCAGTGTCCGTGAGATTCCGGTGGCAGATGGGGGAGTTGGCAAACGGAGTGCCAGATCCCTGCTGAGTACGCCATGAGCGCTGTCAGTGCTTGTTAGAGTCAGAGATCCACGACGCTATAAGACACTGAAGAAGTGCATTTGCTTGCACCTTTAAAGGGTCTTTTTATGATATTTGTGGAAGTTTATGTACCAAACAGTCTTCTCTTACATGACTGTTTTTACACCCTCTTCTTTTCTCTTAGAATTAATAGAATTCAACATGGTGTTTTTGTTAAGCTCAAACTGATGCAGGCCAAATAGGTGGATATATGCAAATGCATGGGTTTTTGTGACATCACAAAAACAGTAAATTCAAAATGGGCCATTTTTTGCCGATTATCTACCCACATATGGAGTGTTGGAACCAGGTAAATGGCAAATGGTATGTTTTAAAACTTGAACAATATTTACGTAATACATCAATTTCAAACAAGTGATATAGACATAATATTTATGAACGCCAGCTGCTCTTTACATCCTGTGAAGATTTCACCATGAATGGACCAACAAAAACGGTCCAAGATTACTTAGAATAAAACGTTGTTACATCAACAGATGGTTGGGTTAAGAACCATTTTTCCTTTTCCTGTATATTGCCATTTTAGAAATGCAAGCAAAGTTATCTCACAACTGTGAAAAGTTTGCTTATAATCTTTTAATATGTGCTTCTATACACGAATAACGGCAAAACAGAGGTCCTGTACAGAGTGAGAGGCAAGAACAGATACTTAGTACAGTAAGTTTTAATAGAAAACATTTCCCAAAACCAGTTTCGCAGTACCATAGCAGCAGTACCAGTTCATCCATACATAGCAGTCAATCAAACCAAAAGTAGCCTACATACATGCATGACAGAACATACAACCTTTGCACACTTTTGGGCAGAATTACTAAAGTTTTCCTACTTTGGTGTTAAAAAATAACTGACGTCATTTACTACATAGGCGCAACGGCCCTTTAGGACCCATAATCAAAGGGACAGACTTCTCGACTCCACTTAATTTTAACCAAAACAGCGCCAGAGCTGGTTATAAAGAGGAACAGCAGAGATTAAACCGCCCTAGATGTAATTTGCCCAATTTGTTGAGTAGTTACAGATTACAGTGACATTATGAAAATGTGTAGGTTACACAAAGTAATATCAGGTAAATGATTACAGCTGGCTAATGTTTCAACACATCTTACCATTAGCCTATTTCACATGACATACTGAGCAAATCATGACTGTAGTCATAATTTATTTGAAATGGAACAAAGTTTCAATTCTGGTGCAGCTGGATAGTATCTTGTTCTTCTTTTCATGAGCCCGAAATTGGCTTTGTATTCTCTAGCTCTTTATTCAGCTTTTCAGTTCCACCTTAAATGGCGCTGCAGTTATCTTAATGATGCATACATGCCAGAAGATAACTGCAGCACCAATTAAGGTGGAACAGAAAATTTGGTGGATGGCAGGAAAACGCTACCTAGCAAGCAAGCAAGCAAAGTTTATTTATGTAACGCTTTTTACAACAGGTGTTGTCACAAAGCAGCTTTACAAGGAAGTCAGCATTACAGAAAGAAATCCGGGTCCAAGCCCCCATGAGCAAACCAGAGGCAACACTGGCAAGGAAAAACTCCCCAGAGAGAAACAGCAAGAAACCTTGAGAGGAACCAAGACGCAGAAGGGGAACACATCCTCCTCTGGTCGACACTGGACAGTAAACATTGTTAGTATTAAGTATTATAGTACAAAAACGGGGAAAACAGTTGGAGCAAATAATTAATTTGATTAGTTTAGTTCATTCAGCAGCAGCGGCAGCAGCAGTAGCAGCAGCATCAGTGGGGTCAGGTTGTGAGGGTGAGGTTTGCATGGTCTAGTACAGCATGAAGCTTGATGGTGTCAAGCCGGTCCAGAGGGCTGGCGAGCAGTGGCACCCGATCAAGGCAGAGAGGCAGCAGCATCAGAACGCACAGGATGGGCAGCTGTTCAATTCGGCAAAGAAAAGAAAGAAAGGAAAAAGTTCTGTAATGGGTGACTGATCACAAATTACAGTGTTAGCAGAGCAGCAGAGACTCTGGCAGGTATAGAACCGACAGGGAAAACTAATTACAGTTATAAGGCTTGACTACACAAGTAAGTTTTTAGCCTAGACTTAAAGACTGAGGCTGTGTCTTTACTTTATTAATTCTAGGTACTAATAGTAAGCCAGCACCTTGTGATCTAAGTAGGCGTGATGGTTCATAGTGAGAGAGAAGTTCACTCAGGTACTGAGGGGCGAGTCCGTTTAGTGCTTTGTAAGTCAGTAAGAGAATTTTATAACCAATGCGAAATTTAACTGGTAACCAGTGTTGATAAAACTGGGCTGATATGGTCAAACCTTCTGGTTCTAGTAAGAACTCTGGCTGCAGCGTTCTGGACTAGCTGAAGCTTGTTAAGGCTTTTGCTGGGACATCCAGCCAGCAGGGCATTACAGTAATCAAGCCTTGAAGTAATAAATGCATGAACTAACTTTTCTGCATCCTGTAGAGATAATGCTTAATTTCTTAATTTAGTAATATTGCGGAGATGCAGGAAGGCTGTTCTAGTAATATTAGTTATATGTGTGTCGAAGGACAGATCAGCGTCTATCATGACACCAAGATTTTTTACAGATGAGCTTGATGCAACTGAGAAATTGTTAAGTTTAAGTGTTAAATTAGACAGTCTGTTTCTAGCCGGAATACATAGCGCCAACAGTAAAGTTTGGTAGAGGAGGGATAATTGTCTGGGTCTGTTTTTCAGAGTTTGGGCCCCTTAGTTGCAGTCAAGGGTAATGTTAATGCTACACCCTATAGACATTTTAGACAATTATGTGCCTCTGTGCACAAAGCAAGTCCCTAAAGACATGGTTTTATGAGTTTGGTGTGGGGGAACTCCAGTGACCTGCACAGAGCCTTGACCTCAACCCCACTGAAAACCTTTGGTATGAATTAGAAAGTAATTATCAGTGTCTGACCTCGTGGGTAAAAATTTCCACACACTTCAAAATCTTGTGGAAAGCCTTCCCAGAAGAGTGGAGGCTGTTATAGCCACATATGCGGGGGTGGTGGAGGGGGGGCATTAACTTTGTATTAATGCCCATAGTTTTGGAATGGAATGTCCAACAAGCTCATATAGGTTTGACAGTCAGGTGTCCACATATTTTTGGCCAAATAGTTTAAGCAATAAGAATTTATTTCAACCTAATGAGTCACAATTTGAACCAAAAACTTTGCTACCAGCACAGGCCTAGTCTATCTGGTTCACCCAAAAATCAAACATACACAATTTTGCCCTTAGCCAAAACATGGCTATAAACATTCAGTGTCTAATATTTGCTTCTTTAGTTTTACACTGTAGATAGAAAGTTAACAGCAGTCTAACCCCAAAAAGATTTCTGGGGATGTAGACTTCCATTCTGTGATAGCTGCATTAGCCTCATAGCTAAAGAACCAGAAACTGGACATCAAACATGTCTTAGCTGATCAATTATGTTGGGGAAAAATTGTGTATATTTGATCATTTTGCTGAACTTTAACCTATGTGTGACACAGTCAATGAGGCAGCCAAATGTATTAAAGAAAGGTAGTTATGGTTTATGTTGTGAATTCTGTTGATATTTGGAAGGTTGATGAGAACTTGGAAGATTGAAATGAGAGGGCGCTGTCGGGTGTCTCTGCCGCTGTCTCTGATGTGGTACATATATGTTCATATAGTTGTTGTTGCCAATCTGCACTCCGGTGACGTTGGATAGGCTGATGCTCACATTGCCTAGGAGGAAGGAAAAAGAAGAAAAAGGAAGTCTGTACATTTCAGAGCTACTGGTTTCAGGTCCCTTTTAAGTCAAGAGAGGACGAGCTTGATGTGAGTTTGGTATGCTTTTGTGGGTGGGACTAGCACTTACCTGGTGTTGAGTACTGGCGCTGACAGGAGATAAAAAAAGAACTTTAAGTTCCAAATTTGCATACTGTATTAAATGAATAATCCAGCATTGTTTAACCTAATCTGCCACATGTGTACTGTACATTCGATTACAATGGAAAATAATTTTAATGCATTTCCCTATTGAGTCAAAACACATAATAGAAACCAACGGACAGCAGATCAATGTGTTTTCACTGTTTTTTTCTATGAGCAGAGAAACAAGGCAACGTGTTACAAATATGGCAGATTAGGCTAAAAATGCTGTAGTATTCCTCTAACATGCCTCCAAGTTTTTAAGTAATGGAATAGATTTTCTCACAGAAAGAGACTTCTTTTCAGTTAAGTGCTAGTAGCATTTAATGACTTTCACTCCAAACAACTACGGCAGATATCATATGTTACTGTAGTATACTAACACCAAGCTAAACATATTTTAGTTTTAGCATTCCCGAGTGACAGACGTGAAAAATTCATGAGCAGTCAAAAAGGTGTACAGCAACGAATTTCTTGTAGTGGGATTTTTGGAGAAAATCTGCTTTTAACGTAAACATTACGTTGCATACAATACTCTGGTACGCTCAGAGACTAGAGACTTACTTCATGTAGTTCAACAACAATGAAAATACAAATTATGTCAACAATTTCTAAAATCTATTGCTTACAATATCAAGGTCAACAGGTGTGTCAAACATTTGGTGGACACCTTCTTTTAAGACCACTTATCAACATCTATTATAAACAGAGACAGTTAATAAAATAAATTAAATAAATACATTTTGCCCATCATTTGCGCTTTGCTAAAAAGGCCTGCACTGGCTCAATGAGACCGATGTGCTTGAACCTCTTTGGTTGCCACTTGCTAAGTGAATTGTACATGGTTTGTTTAGCTCTCATAACAGTTAGAAAGGTCCACAGATGTCACCAAATTCTACAAGAATTCCATAAAAAAACAAACTAACTGGTTATCTTAACAATGTGCACAAAAAGAATAGACGAAGGAAATTCGAATATGTGAAAATGAAAACCATCCGTAACCGGGAGTAATGGAGAGCACAATTGGCCTCACTCTCTGGGTGGGTAGGATGGCCCCCCTTCTCCCCCCATCACTCAACGCAATGCTAGTCAGCGCAGGTGTCTGTTAGCTGACGTAACAGATCTGGCGGTTGGCGCTTTCCTCCGAGAGCGTTCAGCTGTCCAATGATGTTGCGTGAGCGGCAGTTAGAAAAGATGCGGTGGCGCTTCACAGGTCTTGGAGGAAGCCTGTGTTAGCCTTCACCCTCCTAGCGTTGATAGTATTGTGTGATTGGGGGAGTCCTAACTAGCGGGTGGAATTGGAGACAACTAAATTGGGGAGAAAATTGAGTAAAAAAAAAAAATTCCAGTGAAGTTAACTAAGTTAATGTTATCCAGCTTTAGCGGCAGTCCTGAAACCTTTCAACTACATGAACTGTAAGCTAAATGTTAGCTCACTTCACCATTAAGTTTATTGACTGTAAACTGTTGTAGTGCTGTGTTTGTGGGAGTAGGGATTCTCCCTCAGAATTCTCTGCTAACTTAATGTAATCTAATTGTGGGAAACTGCAGTTAGTTTGCTAAGACATTGCTTATACCTGTATATTCCCAAAGAAGGTGGCTATGATGCACTCTTGTTACCAGCTGGCTAAATGCTGCAGCTCTCTGTACCACACAATTGCCAGCGTTTTTTTTGTGAAATTATATTTCGTAACATAAAAAGAAAGCAGAACTTTTATACGTGATGTAAATTTATTACTTTGTTCAGATTTAGCTAACCTATAGCTAGGCAGGCTTACTACAGCTGCTAAATGGCAAGCCAATTAATTTCTCCATATCAGCTTAGCATGAATAGCTAACGTTAGCTAGCATGTTATTTTAGCGCTGCAGGGCTCTACCACACAACACAAGCTAGGAGCTAAGGTTTCATGCTAAGCTTTCTCTCAATCTCCCATACCACACATCGCTACAGCATCCTCCCTTTAGTTGTGTTTAAATCAGTGCTTTGACTAGTGTGAATCACTTGTGTCACTTGGGAATGCACAACAACTATAATATACCTGCTTAAGCACTGTAGTATGCCAGTCCTCTGGATTTAACAGTACTAAAGCTTACTCTGAAAGCAGTGTGACTCTCTGTGAGGAAGGTTTATAGTGTGACTGAATAGGATTTATTCCAGACCTGGGTCATTGGAGGCCTATGTGTGGTGGGTGGTGCTTTGGCAGCTGGTTTGTGATTGGTTCCTGATGAAGTTGGAGCGCGTTGACAAGCAAATGTCTCTGTTATGATGATATGGAAGACAAAAGGTTTATTAGTTATGGAGAGCCATCAGATAACAAAGCCACAGTTAAGATCACCAGACTGGCTGACATTACCTGGTTCTTTGGGCCTTGAGTTTGCAGTACTGCCTGTGGCCTAAAAAGACGGTACAGTTATTTATGGAGCCCATATAATTCTAACAAAGATGGAGTCTATAGATAATCCTTACTTCCCCCTTTAAATTTCGCCTTTTAGAAATGAATACCTGCACAGGAGTTGGCTCAGTCTTCACAGAATAATGAGAGTTTTCTTTTACACATCCTACAGGGAAGAAACAGACAGAGAACAAATCAGATAAGTAGTAGATAAGAATCAATATTAAAATCTTAAAAATATTTATGCCCTAAGGAGATTGCTGAGTAGAAACTGAATAGAGATGCCATATATAAATTAGCTTTTTTGAGTAACCTCAACTTAAACTATGTTGTTGACCTAACTGAAATGCACAACTAGAAACGATAGGAGAATTTTTGACTACAGTGAGTTGAGTAAACTCAAAAACTACCGTATCATTCATTGAACTTCAAATAATATGTTAACAAATGTACACACAAATTATTCTGCTATTAATACTAGAAGTGCAATTAACTCAAAAATTTAAGGTTCCTTACTTTTTTAAGCTTAAAAACTTGCATAATTTTTAAAGTGGTAAAGTCAGATAAGGGCATTAATGCTAATTTCTGTCTGCATCCACAGGCTTCAGAAATGAGCAGGATTATCAAACTTCTAAAAAAAACAGAAACTGCATGCAATGCACAGGATCTATGACTAAGCACCGCATGCATAATGCTACTATTGTTAGGTGGTCTGCTTCACTTCACAAAAACTTCTAGAGGTAACTATTCTTGAAGTCTTATTCATTATTCTAAACTAGATGGCACGAAAAAGGTAAGGAGCGAATGAAGGGTTCAGCTGCCCATCCTTTAAATTGGTGGGGGGGACCTGAGGGCTGGAGTCCAGCACAGTTTGGTGATTTCCCTTCTTTAGCACACCAACCAAACATGATTAGCTGAATTATATGTGCAGGAATCCAGCGTATAGTTGCCCACCTCTGCATTAAATAAAGTGCAAAAGGGTGAACAGAGCGGAATTTACCGTTCTGTGTTTTGGAGGTGATATGGAGTGATTTCAGACCGGAACTGACTTTGTCTTTGTCATCCTATACAAAATAAGTGAGAGAAAGAGTGTGATGCCTTTAAAAAGGGTACTAACATCATTCACACAATGCAAATCTATAGAGAATACAGGTAAATTATAAGAAACAGGAAGTACGAGAACAAAAACAACTAAAACATGTGAAACACAATTCTGTTTACCATACATTTACCAGTAAAGTGAAACAATGCTTAAACTTAAAAGTGTAATTAGAATTTTGTACCAGCTTTTTCTGAACAGCACAGACATCGTCATGTACTTCCTTCTTGTGCAACGTGTACACCTTCGTAGTCACCTTAATACAATCTGAAATGAACATAAAAACAAATATGCAACAAAAAGTAAAAAATACACCATGGAGAACTAAAACAAAATAGAAAATAAATAATGTAAATGTAACTGATAAGCAAATAAACAATGGTTCGACCAAAGGTTCCTTTCTGAATCGGCAGATTTATCATTCAAATTGAGTACATTTTTAATTGCATGCATTAGGGCACTATAGGCAAATGGTTCTGACACACAGATCTACAAAAAATGAAACACACAGCTAAAAATAGTGATCTCTGGCACCAGCTTTCAAGAGGACGACAGCACAACTACAACAATGAGCCATATTTGAAAGCAAACATCAGCAAGCGGTAAAACAGACGACTGTATCATCCATGTGAAACTGTGATGCACAGCAGGGAGAGAACATCACACATGGGTGTGCAAATTATAGAGAACTAAAGTACAAGTTAGCCCCGGTCATAGCATTTATGTTCCTTCACAATAACTTGAGTTAGTAATGAGTGGAAAATATAACTTTAGAATCTTTAGAAGCTTTCAGCAGCCCAACACTGTATATTTCATTTTGTCTTTTTTTTAGTTTTTAGTCATAAAACCATGAAAATATTGTAGTTGACTGTCCCTGTTTTTTATATTTGTCAGTTTAAACAAGACTAGGTTCTCATGTAGGGTATGTTCAGTACGGTTTTGGGCCATTTACTTCATATACATGCTTATGCCTGGACCATCTATCAGTACTACGTTGTACAGTCCATACAAGAAATACATTTTAATATTTTGGTGCTTTAATACAGAGTTCAGTTGATGTGTGTGCTCATAAGTGTGTATAGCAAGTGTATATCAACTTACAACAGCTTAAAATGTGCCTTAGCCAATCAGATTACAGAACCACAACTGTGCATTTTATAACTCTTTTTTCGCACCTTAGATTTTAGGCTTGCTGGTTAATGATTAATCATCGTCTAATGATGGTTTGTTATCGGTCAAAAGAATTTGAAAAGAGTTTAATGTCCAGAATAAAACAATGTAGGATATTTTACAGCTGCACATTTAGAGAAACATACAGTCACACAGTGCTGAACTAGTGCCTATAAGCTTCCATTGCTTACAAGCTACATTCACCTTGCAGCTCATTTTAAACTAACTGCTTACATGCACAGTTGAGACAAAATATTAAGAGATAGTTCAATTTGACCAGACATGGGCACGTGGGACCATTGAACCCAGATGTTTTGCACTATGGACACAAACAAGAAACATGAACACAGAGCTATTAGGAATGGAAAAAAGTAAACATTAGAGACAGAAATTCCACTTTATTTAACCCCTAAAGGACTCATCAGCAGGTCCAGATCCTCTCACTCGCTCTCACAAAGGCACATCTTATATTTACTATATATATATATATATATATATATATATATATATATATATATATATATATACATTACTAGATAAAAAGGTATAAAAGTTAATAGCTGAATAATAAGTTCAGTTCACTTATAAACCAAAACAGTCATAATTAATTTATCCCTTAGAATACCCTTATATATATATGAGCTGCCCTATATATAAATGATTGGCTGCCCTGTATTGCACCTCATTCAAAAAGCAGTCCAGGCTGAAACACTCCTTATAACCTCATTGTGAATGGGTGAAGCTAAACTGCTGTAGGTTGAATGGGTGGATATACAGTGCTCAAAAGTAGTTTTTCATCATCAGGCTAGAAAACTTTCATTCAACACTAAACCTAATGAGCTTATTCAGATCAGAGATCTCCGATGCACCATCCAGCACACCTTACTCAAAATGTCATTAACTGCAGAAAACTTTTGGCAAGAAAAAATGTTTACATTACACTGAAAATTCCATAATCAAAAGAGAAAAATATACTGAAGGAGTGGATACAAACAGGATCTAGCTCTGGCCATCCAAAAGAAAAAATCCAAACATCAGTTGTGAAACATCATGAAGTCCATGCCTAGAAGACTTCAAGCTGTCATCCGAAAGAGGAAATACTGAATCAAATACTAAATACTGACCTACGTAAAAGACTGAGACACTGATGTTTGTCCCGCTAATATTTCAGTACTTTTACTTGCCTTACTTCAAGTTTTCAATTAATTACTGGGATCATGTTGCGTTAGTAAACCTGGCTGTTATAACTGGTTGTGATAACTTTAGCTTGGGAAGTAATAAATAAATGAGACATTAAATTTTATGAAATTAGTTTCCCAATTAGTGTCCCGACACTAATTTTGAGCTCTGTAGGCAAAAGTGTTGGCTTTCATGACATGAAAAAATTATGAATTCAAAATGGGCTGTCTTTCAACTCAAGTTTAAATCAATGGACTGAATGAACTGGGAGCTGAATGATACATTTTAAAGCTGTAACAGTGGAAATTTTCCAAGTCCATGATTTGGTTCCTTTAGTATAGCCTTACAGTAGCAGCTCACCCATGAAGGAAGGTCTCTGTTTAGGGTTGTCATCCCAGCAGTGCTGCATCAGCTCGACCAGTTCACTAAGCCCAGCTGCCTGGCTGCTGTCCACAGAGGTCAGATCAGGTCTGTCTCCTTCAGGAATGCGAAACCTCACCAGACTAGAGATCACACCTGAAGAAGAGAGGCCATGTGTGAAGAAAAGAGAAGGAGAGGAAGATTCTGAGAATGTGCAGGAAAGAATATTTACAATCTCATCTAGCACCTACCCTAAAAAAAGAAATACGGTGAATTTACTCATTTTTTTTATATTACATTTTTTTTATATTTTATTTATATAATGTGTAAGTTTTACATGAATTAAATACATAAAATATATAATTGTGCCTTTCAGTTTAGTAACTTTTGGAAAAAATCTTTTATTCATTTATCATTATCTCATGGCCTATTATCCAGTAATTACTATGAAGTATTCAGTAACTACAGGGAAAGTAACATGTAAGGTATTAAAATATGATCATATTTTATTGCTAACGTGATAATTTTTGTCACTGCGATACACAATATCGCTGTTGTCGAAAGAACACCTCGTATCTCCAAAATGATACCTTAGGAAAAAACCTACTTTACTTTTAATGCAAGTCAATGGAACCAGACTTTTTACCAAGTCATTTTGGGCCGTTTCTTTTGGTCTATCCATCATGAAATTGACACACAACGTAAAGGGCAACAGGCATTTTCAAATTATGCCAGAAACTGAAAAACGACACAAATGGATATACAAGGTTTTGTTGCGACCGCAGCGATATGCATTTCTGAGTATATCGTCACATCGTTACTAGCAAGTTTGTTTGTGCGTCAAAAAAAACAAAGTGATGCATATAGCGTATCGTGAAAATCTCTTTAAGTATCATAATATACTATTTCTCCCGTATCGCCCATCCCTTGTATCAAGTTATGAGAGTGAGGAAATGGTGGTCTTTTTACCCACCTGTAGTTAAAAGTTAAAGGGTTGAAAAATGCTGTGGATACTCACTGTCGTAAGGCTCCTTTCCAGTTATAACTGACCACAAGAGTATACCATAGCTGAGACAAAGCATAAAAAGAAAAACAGGGTCATTCAATGCACTGAGGAGGAGGCCATGCTCTCACAGTCAAAGTTACAGATCCTTTAATAAACATTCCTCACCTGTAAATGTCAGAGGAAAAGCTGGGAGTATAAGAAGAAAGCTGAAATGCTTCTGGAGGCATGTAGCTTGTGGTCCCACCTGTCTCCTCGTCTCTCTCTCTGGCCATTCTGGAAGCGCTCTGGGCCACTTTTGCCAAACCAAAATCTGTGAGCTTAGAATAGAATTTACTATCAGTTGATCAGCAATTAATTAAGTAAAATAATGCCTGGGGCCCTTTTTTGTGCAGCCGTAAGCGTGGCATAGTGGTATAATGTGCATTGTTAATGTAGTTGGGCATGAGCCAATTCTTTTCTATTTTTGCCCAGTTACTCTTTTCATGGCCAGAAAAGGACACACCTGTGCTACAATAGATTAGTGCATCAATTATGCCTGAAATTATAAATACAGTATAAGACATTCCCATCACATCACTGCGTTTTGAATATGAACATGACTTGAGCGCAAGACAATTTTGTCCAAAACTGACCCAAGCGCCAAGATAAAACCTCACAATTTTAATGACAGTGTTGGTTCCTGTGCAGTGACAAATATAGCCATCATTAGATTGTGAACAAAGAAGATAAAGAAATAGATAAAATATTGATATAATAAAACAATAGCTGTCCAAAATGAAGTTTAAACTAATTTACCTCTTCAACAAATTTATTCACCAAGCAATACTTTTGAGCAACGACAAATTAATAGTCTGCATAATCTTTCCATAATGCACTGTTCTCATTCTGGGTCTTTTTGTACAAAGAACATATTATGTATAACATAATATGTAAGCTAAGCTAAAATCTATTAAAAGAGGGAGGAAGGCTGCGCAGTCAGTCCCCTTCGAGTTTTTCAAAATGTCTGCATAATTCATTCAATGAGATGTTAACAAAGTAGCTGTAAAATTTAATGCATTCCTAATGTGTTAATTTGGTAAATTATTAATGCCACTAATGCTTTTAAACCCCTGCGTTCACACAACAAAAATACTGTTATGTAATAATAATGATTGAATGAATAACAATAACTACATTCTGATGAAGCTTGTTTTGCCCTATCATATAGCTATGACAAAATGCATTTCTTTTAACAAGGAAAAAACTTTTGTTGTGGTCAGGTTTGACCAAATAGGACAAATATGACATGAAATACTGCAGTTAATCATGTTTATTTATTTTAATTGTTTGACAGCCCTTAAACAAAACCATTCAGAGTAGTTTGATGTGAAGTACTTTGCAGAGAAAGTGGTGATCGGTAATGATCTGTAATGATCGCAATATCTGCAACGTTATATTGTAATGTTGATTTTGGAAAAATAATGGTAAAACTAAAAAAACTTCTTTAGGTTCTATTTTTTCTTACGAGGCCCTGCATGTACCCCTACACCATAAATAGATTGACGTCCACCTCTGAACAAATACTTCAACCTCAAGCGAAAGATTATAGTCCAGTCCTATTTCTTCAAACCATGGTTTTCATGAACATACATTACTTATATCACTAAATCAATATAAATAGTCTACTCCCAAATACCAGCTAACTGCAACTGAATTAAATGTTTTTTTTTAGAACAAACAACTCATTTGTGGCTACTTAATGTGAATCAGAGATTTGATGCATCATTACACTAGGAATATCATAATAGAATCCAAACTAACAAAACTAATAACAAACCAGCCTCACAATTTTTTGAGTTTGTGTATTTCTCAACATAATAATTATTACATTATACATGATCTGACTTGCCTTTCCTCCATAGACTGTGCCATTTGGAAAATGTCATTAGCATATACCAGGTTGTTAAAGGAAATATCAGGAGCTGATTTGATTGAATATTGCTGTAGCATGCTTAACCACACCTGTTGATAATGTATTCATTCTAATCTCACCCCTTTTTTCAATTACGCTACTCTTTGCCAGATCCTAACAATAAATGCCAATGGCATGATCTTCCACCTTATCTTTACATTTCAGTATAATAATAAAAATATGGCCTCTAGCCATGACAAGACTTTACTTGAGGCCTGGTTGTGGTTTAACTGGATTGAGAGAAGCCCTGGCTGATGGATTTCATCTGGGGTATGAAGATAACTGTGTAAATCAGATTTTTCACCAATACTCCTAAGTACTCCTTAAGGTTATGTACTTTGCACACAAAAAAGCCTTGAGATCACAGTGCACCCTTACGTATTCAAGTAATCCCTGAAGTGCGGCATAAACTTTCTGAATTGCCAGTTGCGTCAGGACAATTTAAGGTTACCTTGGCATTGAGGCTGTCATCCAGCAGCACGTTGCTGGGCTTAAGATCCAGGTGCAGCAGAGGTGGATCCAGCTGGTGGAGAAAGTTCATGCCCAGAGCGATCTGGTGCGTGATGCGGAAAGCAAGGGCCCATGGAGGGGGTCCGTTCAGAGCTCTCTGCAGGTCCGCCAGAGAGCCCCTCTCCATGTACTCCATCACTAAACCTAACTGAGTAGAGGCTTCTTCTGGAGGGTGACCTTTATACACACCCAGAATTCTCAGCACGTTGGGATTCCCACCGTGACGCATCAGGTCTGCCTCTCGGAGAAGAGCTGAAGCGGAACTGGGGACAATAAGAAAGGAGGGATGAAGAAATGATCTATCCCGTGAGAAACTGAGGCACACCTTAAGCAGACTCAGTAGAGTCTGATAGCTTGTTTATATCGCTCGCTTTTGATATTACCATTATAATAGAAAATGAAATCATATGAAATACAGTTTTTACCTGTCTTTACAATGTAATAACTTTATGGCAATTTTTATCCCCCATTTTGTATGTTTTCGTCCTATAGATCTGTCCAAATCCACCAGAACCAATCCGACGCCAGGACTCAGGACACAAACAGTCATCATGAATCAAAGTTGGCATGAGGCAGCTGGACAGTTCCATTTCTCACTGTGTGTAGGGAATCTGTTTTGTTGCAAATAGACTTTAAGGTAAAGAAAATTCGGCAACATTTTATTTTTTCAAAATTTCTGCATAATTCATTCAATGAGATGTTAACAAAGTAGCTGTAAAATTTAATGCATTCCTAATGTGTTAATTTGGTAAATTATTAATGCCACTAATGCTTTTAAACCCCTGCGTTCACACAACAAAAATACTGTTATGTAATAATAATGATTGAATGAATGACAATAACTACATTCTGATGAAGCTTATTTTGCCCTATCATATAGCTATGACAAAATACATTTCTTTTAACAAGATGTTTATTTATTTTAATTGTTTGACAGCCCTTAAACAAAACCATTCAGAGTGGTTTGGTGTGAAGTGCATTGTAAAGAAAGTTGTGATAATAAGAACCAGGGCTTGCAATATCTGCAACGTAATGTTGTAATGTTGATTTTGGACAGTACTTAGGCACTATTTTTTCTTACGAGACCCTGCATGTACCCCTCCGCCATAAATAGACTGACGTCCACCTCTAAAAGCTCCCTCACAGAAAGTTATCACATGAATTGATTATGAATACGCTGCTTGGTGTCTGACACATTGTTTTATGACAGTTTTGTAGAAAGTTTTGGCTTAAAATGTATTTTAATCCACTTGTTTAAAACCATTAATGGGGGAGGAGTACATGTAGTGCATTGTAAGGCAAAATAGCCCCCAAGGAAAAATATTTTTTCAGATTTCTGACTATTTTATCATAATCAACATTAGATATAAAAAGTCAGAGGACGTGTATGTTCACTGGTGGTTTTGGATAGTAAATATATATTTATATATTTGTGTTGTAGACACACAGTTCCTGATTCCTGTCACCACCACTGTAAAGAGTCTGAGTTTTTTTAAAACAAAACACTTCACATCAAACCACTCTGAATGACTTTGTTTACATTTCGAGGACTAAAATACCCAGAAATTCTGAAAAATTGGTGGAAGTGCCCTCTAAACTCTTTAAACGTCTGGTTCCTATCACCACCACTGTGAACAATACTCGGTACGTTTCTACAGAACGGCACCTTTCACACCAAACCACTTTCAATGACTTTGTTTACATCTTAACGATTTATTTATACAGAAATTTAAAAAAAATGTGTGGACTTTCCCTTAACTGTCTACTTTTCCCTAGACAGTTAGTAATTTAAACATTTGTAGGTAACCTAGCGGGCTATCTAACAAAAAAATCTAACCATAAAAGTTATCACTGACGGTCATATATTATTACACTGTAATAAGTCAATGGATCATTACAGGCAAAATCCAACATAACTTAACTTACCTCATACATAGTCCGGGTGGAGAGAGAGTTAACCCCACAGGATATTAACCCTTAAAACATGTTAGTAAACTTATTTACAGGTACTCAAGGCAATGTCATGGTTGACTACATGCTGAAACGCCTGTTTTTGTGGGCTTTTAAGGATTCTATACTGAAATGGCGACGGTTAGACAGAAAACAGCAGTATTGTGTTATGTGCACTACTTTCACTTCCTCAACCAGCCAGTGAGGAAAAATGAGGAACGTGACGTCACCGAAGTTTCGTTAGTATACTGTGTATTCAACAGAAGTTTGTAAACGGATAGAAGTGAAAGGAGACAAAATCCATTACATTACGTTTAATGTTTCGATTGCATTGTGTTTAGTTCTTTCGACTCTCAGAGTCACTGGCCAAGAGTCGGCCCTCACTCTCAGACGCGTTGGAGTTCAAAGAATCGACTCTTTTGGAATCGACTCTCCATCACTTGTGTTCGAGGAAGATAAACACACCTGTTAGCAAAACTGTGTGGCTGTTGTGAGCATATGAACACGGAAATGACATACTACCTTAAATAGTAATGTGTTTATATATATATATATATATATATATATATATATATATATATATATATATATATATATATATATAAACTCGGTTTTAAAGTTACATTTTGCTGTGTTCAAGCAAGATATAATACCTGGACATCCGTTAGCAAAACTGTTTTGCTATTATTAGCAAATGAACTCAGAAAGGAAGGGCTATCTTAAAGCTGTATTCGTTTGATATTAATGTGAACTTATTTCCATATCGTCATTTTTTGCCATTTCTCTTCCCCAAACACCAAAACGGAAATGTCTTGAGTTTTGACGTCAGTGGAATTTCCCACCACAGCTCGGTCTGCTTCTGCGCAGCTGTGTTCACGTCAAAAACATACACAAAACCCGTTTTATTTGTATTTGAACGACGACTGATTTAACATATTGAACATTTTGCCTGCTCAGACGGCCGTTATTTCTCGCCTGTGGTTGTAGAATCCCTCTGTGAGCACTGTAGTGAGCCTAAAACAGTAAAGGCAGCAGGAAGCTGACGTCAGCTTCTACTCATCAGCTTCTTATTGGAATTTTTCCGTTCCACCTTAAATGGTGCAGCAGTTACAATTGCTGCACCATTTAAAGCGGAACGGGTAAATTCGAACAAGAAAGCTGGCGACCAGGAAGACAACTTACCGTGAAGGTCGTATAGCGTCTACCCCTTTTATAACAGTGCAAACAATGTTGGCTTTTGCTGAAAAAGCAACACTTTTGTATAAAGTAACTGACAGGGTTGCCAGATTGCTTCTGTTTCAGCCGTTTGAGTCCATTAAGCTGAAGTAAGCTTCTTATTCGAATTTGCCCGTTCCACTTTAAAATTCTGCACCATTTAAGGTGGAACGGGAAACTTCGAACAAGAAGCTGGAGAATTGTGGGCTACAGCATATACGTTCGTTACGGTAGCCGCTCCGCCTACTGTGAATTTCCCCAAGTTTCATTTTGTCAACAATAATAACCCACGTTCATGGCGAGCACGATGTGTTTTTAACTCGATGGAGCAGGAAGTTGTACAAAGCTGTTAAAAAATATAGAATCGTCGTAACACCGGGACCGTTTGGGTGCTAATCGGACGGGGGTGAACTTTGGTCTTAGTCTTAGATATTAAGTAAGGTCAACTGAGTAAGTGCGGAAGACACGACCAACGACTGTAATCGAAACTTAAAAAGCCAACAGGTGAAGGGAGCTGAAGTGACCATGGTAGGCTAACATTTTTTCAATTTAACCGTATATAAAGTTTCTTTATTGAGTACTTTCCTCGTGACAACGTCCAGGAAGCCAATTTGTCTTGTGTTGGTATCCTTTGTTAAAGGGGAACTCCACCATTTTTTTTCCAAAATTTCAACATAATTACACAAATGTTTACCAACTGTACTGAATCAGAATTGTTCGCAGTGATGGTGATAGCAACCAGACGTCCATCTTTAAAAGATCCCTCACAGAAAGTTATTAGATTCAGTGATTATGAATACACTGCCTGATGATGTTTTAAGATTACATTCTGATCTTAAGCATATATTTAAAAAACTCATTCATGGCAGAGTGGTACATGCAGGGCGTTGTGAGGCAAAGTCATTATTATTTTTTCAGATTTTCCACTATCCTCAGCATTACGTTTAAAACCTCAGATTTAGATTCACTGATGGTTTTGGATAGTAAATAAAATGGCTATGTTTGCGTTGGAGACATTGCAACCTCTGGTTCCTGTCACCACCACTGTAAAGAAATCTGAGTCAGCAAGTTTCTCTAGAATGAAGCATTTGACCTCAAAACACTCTAAATGACTTTGTTTACGTCTCAGTGATTTAATTCTTGAGAAATTTTGAAAAATTGGTGGAATTCACCTTTAACGTTGCTGATTAAAGGGGCCTTCCAGCCAAAATGGAAAATGTAAACTTTGCTACAAAAAAATTGTAAATGTACCTATTTGCCTCCTGTAGCGATGCTACAGTAGTCTTGAGAGTGAGATGTTATGGTTTGAAGACTAGGAAACTCCCCTTTTGATGATGTATCTTGAAGGTACAAATATTTTTGGGGGCAGGCTGTTTAAAATGTGTTTTTTTCTGCTCGTTGCCAAATGCAGAAAGAAGCGAGATAGCTAGCGTCACAGCTAGGATGCTGAATCACGTCTGTTTATCAGCCTCTACATCAGCAGTACATCAGTAGATTTCTTTATGTAGTTGGGAAGATTTCCAATGACATACTTGTGTGATGCATGCTGGGTATTGTAGTAAGAGAGCACTGGGGGACAAAAACACAAAAAAAAGTCTTAATTTTGTTGATGTGACACTGCACTATATACCCTAACAAATAAGTCAAGTCAAGTCAAATTTATTTGTACAGCGCTTTTTACAACTGATGTTGTCACAAAGCAGCTTCACAGAAATCCATTAAGGACAAAGTTTTAACATGAAATGTAAATCCTCCAGGTGAGCAAGCCAGGGGCGACAGTGGCAAGGAAAAACCCCCTCAGAGCTGGGGAAGAAACCTTGGGAGGAACCAAGGCTCACAAGGGGGGACCCATCCTCCTCTGGTCAAACTACCTACAAAATTATTATACTACTAATATTAATAGTAGTAGTAGTAGTAATAGTTAGGAGTCCACTTCAGTGTAGGGTGGGCAGCTAGTCCAAGGCAGGTGGCGGTGACTGGGGCGTGGGCAACTGGTCTGAAGCGGGTAGCAGGAGAGCTCAACAGACAATCATCCATCAGTGTCCGGCCGGACAGGTGGGCAGTCGTTTACTCGGAAAAAAGGTAGGGAGATGGAGTTAGTTTAGTTCTGTATGGGTGTATGTATAATAATATGTAAAACATTTCCAGAGTGTGGCTAATGACTCCGGCAGATCTGACTATAACAGCTTAACTAAAAGGAGAGAACCAAAAGGACACACAGATACGGGAGCACCCTGAAACAATTTGGCATCCCTCCGCTCCACCGTCCACAAACCTGAGTGATTGCATGCGAGCGGCGGGACGACAGCACCGGCGTCTCAGTTTACTATAATTCCCTGTGTCCATGGACCCCTGGATCTGCTGCCTTTATCTAAGGGGAAACATTAACTACCAAAAGCTAAACTGAACAAGTGAGTCTGAGTCCCGAACATTTTCTGGAAGATCATTCCAGAGTTTGGGGGCTTTATAAGAAAAGGCTCTTCCCCCAGATGAAACCTTCTGAATTCTGGGAACGATTAAAAAGCCAGCACTTTGTGATCTGAGTAATCGTGGTGGCTCGTAATGGGAAATAAGGTCTTGTAGGTACTCAGGAGCGAGCCCATGTAGGGCTTTATACGTCAATAAAAGAATTTTGTAATCAATATGGAATTTAACAGGCAGCCAATGAAGTGATGATAGAACTGGACTGATATGATCAAATTTTCTAGTTTCAGTGAGAAAGCTGGCTGCAGCATTTTGAACTAGTTGAAGTTTACTTAAATTCCTGCTGGTGCATCCTGATAGTAGTGCACAGTTTTAGGCTGGAATGGCCCTTTAAACTGGATGACCTTATTGATTACCTTTATGTCCTAATCAGCATATTAATTTTGCCAAGTCCAGCTTTGAATGAAAAGAGCTGTATCATTTTCATGGCCTTTTTCCATTCCTTTTGCTCACAAAAAAAACCCTTATTTCAGTTTTGGGATGCGCTCATTAAAAATATGACTTATCTCCATCCTAGAGAGGCCTCCTTAAAAACATTAATTGGTTACCGTTTCTCTGTTATCTCTCCACATCTTCTCAAATGCTCTAGTAAGTCTTGACCATCGTCATCTACAGTCCTGCTCTGTCATGGCCCTCTCAGCCGTCCCAGGATGGGGGGAAAAGATAGAAGGAGAACATCAGGTGGAGGATGAGTTCACCTGTCCTGGTGTGCTGCGAGGTTGTCTGCTGGACCTGAAAAATACAGTGGAGCGAGTGTTTAGGGTGATCTTGAGAATAGGTGGGGAAGAAGATGCATATACATCTCAGGATGGACAGATCTGGCTGCAGCTGAAAGGAAGAAAAAGAGACGTGGAGGCAGCAAAGGTGGGTTTTATTCTTTCATGCAGGCTGGTGTGGTTTTCTTTTTTTTTAAATGTTTCCCCGCAAAACAGTTTTGTTTAGTTTTGTTTAGTCTGTTAGCCCCTGTCATCAGTGTTTAGTTTTACAATTAGACTTCAGGTCTTACATGATTTAGATCAGGGCTGCCCAAAGTGTGGACAGTAAGCCAAAGTTGGTCCATGAGGACGATTGATTTGGTCTGCCAGAATGTTATTAACTCTAACCCTAATCATAAACTTATGGTAACATGATTATATGTTACTGTTATTATGGCAAACTATGACAAATGAGCCAGTACACAACAACCAGTTCATAGGAACAGCATAAACTGCACAGTAACTAACTTGATGTCAGTCCTTTATGCCATTATCTTATCTTACTGATTTACTTTCGCCAGGTTTCCTTCTATTCTAGGACATTTCCACTGATTTTGCCATATTGCTGTGCAGTTCAATTGTAAAGAAGTAAACTAACTTATTCAGAGTGTTTTGATGTAAAATGCTTCATTCTAGATAAGCGTATCGAGTCAGAATTGTTCACAGTGGTGGTGATAGAAACCAGACATCTGAAGCATTTACCGCCTCTTGAAAATTTCCTCAGAGAAAGTTATTAAGCAAAACTGTTAAGAAGATGTTGTCTGATGATAAGTTTTAGGTGCTAAAATGTACCTTTCAGGTTCCATCGCTTCACTGGGGTGGTGTCCTCAATCTTTAGCACCTCTATTTGGAGAATATAACTGTACCATATTTTGTATATGCAATTAGTAAGTTATACTGACTCCTTTGAACCCATCTTAAATCCAGACTTTTTATTTTACTTTTCTATTTTAAAAAGTTATGTTATGAAACGGTGCGACTATGTACAACCCCATTTCCAAAAAACTTGGGACAAATAAAAACAAAATG